TGTTTCCATCAGTAGAGAGCAAGGGCGGATTCTGTTATTTTTCACAGATGAACGTCAGTATTGAAAGGGTCGGCGCAGGCCACTGGGAACCGCCCGTGGGCCTGGGGAGGGCAGGCCAAGGCCTACCCAGCAGCTTCAGGGTTCTGCTCTGCATGTCTTGTTTAATTTTGAGAGCATAGAAAGGAAAAAAGCAGGAAAGGACAGTGAGTAATGTAATCAACGCCCATGTGGCCGTCACTCAGAATTGACATTTTTCCCAGGTATGTAAAGCATGAGCAAAGGGGAGCATTGCCCCAAAGGTGATGCTTCCTTACCCTGCTCCCTGCCCCTGCCTCGTCCCTGGGGAAATGCTCCCACGGGCTTGATGTGTGTCTTCATAATCTGTTTGCACATTTTCACCGCATGTGTATGTGAACCCATGAATAATATATAGTATTGCTGGCTGAGTCTTTTAGAATCTGGCTTAAAATGCGGACGTACTGTAATACAATTTTGCTACTTGGTTTTTTTCACTAAACATTATATTTTCATGATTTATCTGTGTTGATATTTATACCTAGTGCATTTATTTTTGGTGCCGAAAAGCATTTCATTGTATGATTGTACCGCAGTTTATTTATCTACTCCATTGTTGGTAGACAGTTGGTGGTTTCTAGATTTTCTGTATTACGTGAACGTTGCCGTAAATGTCTTCAATGCCTGTCCCCTGACACAGGCACCTGCCCGGGCAGCTGTCGGACCCGCCGGCTGAGTTCAAGTAGGTCCAGGTCCACCCTGTGACCTCCCTTGGGATTTGTCCAAGCTTCACCACCCACACTAGCTGCTTTCTTCCTCTCCTCGACTCTCTAGGCAAGGGAAAGTTTGGAGGAGCCATGAGGATGAGGATTATAGGCAGGAGTCACCATGCCCAGCCTTGCCCTTCAGTTCCAGTTTTCATCTTATGTTAATGCATTAATTAGGATGCCAATTAAGAAAACCCAAATATACATCTGTCTCTGTTACCTTATCTACCTTCCTGTCTTTCCAGCACAACTGTTCTCACTTTTCTGTGTCCCTTTTGCCCTCTTCCCACATGCATGCATAGTTGTAATGTACATAAATCACAGAACGGTGTGTTCTGCATTTTTTACTTAACAAGGTAGTGCAGGCCGAGCACGGTGGCTCACACCTAGTACTCTGGGAGGCCGAAGCAGGAGGATTGCTTGAGCCCAGGAGTTTGAGACCAGCCTGAGTAAGAGCAAGACCCTGTCTCTACTAAAAATAGAAAAATTAGCCTGGTGTCATGGTGAGCGCCTATAGTCCCAGCTACTCAAGAGGCTGAGGCAGGAGGGTTGCTTGAGCCCAGGAATTTGAGGTTGCAGTGAGCTATGATGACACCACTGTACTGTAGCCTGGAAGACAGAGCAAGACCCTGTCTCAAAAAAAAAAGGAAAAAAGTAGTACAAACATTTTCTAAGTTGCTACAGTCTTCACAACGACCGTTTTCGTGAGCGCATAATGTTTTGCTTGCTGATATGCCCTAACCTGCTCTTCCTGGTCTGGCATCTGCTTTTCCTGCCATTAGTCCTCCCAGCTCCCAGCAGTCTTTGGGGAATTGCTCCCAGCCCCCTCAGGTCACATTGCCATCCAGACACGGAGAAGGCTGGATCACAGCCCTGCCTGGCTCCTCCCCCGCCCCCATCCCCCACCTCCTCCAAAACTCCCTATTTCCTTGGGAGTAGAAAAGCCACCAAACTAAACTGTGGACAGTCTCATTATGCATGGCTTTGAGATTGTCTTAAATACTCACAAATAGGTTCCTCTCAGGAGGAAGGAGTGTGGAGCTGACTTCTTAGGCCTTGTTCTCTGTGTTTCAAGGGAGATGGTGAGAGGGATTCTCAGGCACTGCTTGTGTCTCCGGGCAGGGGACGTGGGGCTGAGCCCTCTCTAGGGACATGGAGTATATGATCTAAGCCCACAAGTTAAGCTTGGGGTGGTGGAAGTAAAAGCACGCCAACCCCACACTGACAGACATCACACTGTTACTGGAACTCTCACTGTGGTGTTGACATTGTCTCTGTTTTCTGTTTCTTTGGCTAAGTTTTTGCAGCCCAGCATGGAGGTTTCTGTTGATCTCACTAGAGCAAGGTCCCAGTCATCTGGACCTCTGCCTTCTCATGAGCCAAATGATCAACTTGGGGATGATTTTTAAAAATAATGAACTGATCTGTAATAACAGCTAATGCTAATGGAACACTTACTGTATACCAGGTACTCTGCTAAAAAGCATTTTACACTTACATCTTGCTTATTCCTCACAACAACCAAATAAGGTAGGAAACTGCCATTATCCCCGTTTGGCAGCTGTGGGAATGTGGCTCAGAGAGGTTAAGTGACTTGCCTGGATCTTGCTTGGAATCCCAACGTGCTTTCCCCCAGCCACCCCAGCCACCCGGCCACCCCAGCCATCCACACTGGGAAACAGGTTCAAGCAGAGCAGGATGGCTGCTCCTTTTTCATCCCCTCCAAAAAGGCCCTTGCTGGTGTGGAAGTTACTTTATATAAAGGCATTGATTAGAAATTCGCCGTTCCCTGTAAGTTTCCCGTTTTAGAGGCTTTGCCCTATTTTGTCTTTAGAACTGTCCACTTTGGAGAACCTGCTTCAAGGGAGGGGTAGCAGGAATGAATGACGCGGACAGACGGGAAGTGGTGCCTGCGGTCTCAGCCTCCTCCCCCGAGAGCAGAGGGCGGTGGGTGGTGCAGAAAGAAAGCTGCAGAGATACAGGGGCCATCCCCTGCCCTAGTTAACAGAGTCCCCAACACAGGTGCTGTGACAGCCCCAACAAAGTCAGTGGCCTGGTAGAAAGAGCAGCAGCTTTTGCAGCAGGCACACCAGGTCTCCTGTCCCAGCGTGACCACTGGCTGGCTGGGTGGCCTGGCCAGGTAGCCGTGCCAAGCACAGAGCAGATACACAGTACAAGCGAGATCCCTGCTAACCAAGACTAGATGAGACATAGATGCTGTCCCCCTGTCCAGGTGCCAAAAATGGGTGGCTTCTTTGGGTCCAAGTCTGACTGTGGTTATTGCAGAGTTGGTTTCTGCTTATCATAGTCTCTGACCCTGCGTACGCCAGTGTCCTGGGCTCTTAGACACAGGCCCAGAGGAGCTGTTCCTTGGTGGAATCAGCTGAGGACTCCTCAGCAGCGAGGTGGGGGCTCCATGCCCCTGCCCTGCTGTCCTGGGCCCCACAGGCATGGACTTGAAAGAGGCAGTGGCCACGGTAGCAGAGAAGGCCCCTTAGAGGAGTCGCTTGGAGAGAGCGCGGCACTGGACCGGGAGTGGGCTTCTTGCCTTCGCCTTGCTTCTCCTCCCCTTGCTGTGCTCTGCGCCTGCCTGTCCTCCACAGACCGACGCAGCATCGCAGCCGGGCTACACCCAGGCCTGCTGCTTTGTCTGTGGCAGTGGGCAGGCTCCATCTCACCCCAGCACTCACAAGTGCTCAGTTTCAGCAGCACCCCAGCCCTGCCGAAAGAACCCATCAGGGAGTGGCAATGGAGAGGCGCGCGTTTGTGGCTGGCTGGCCAGATCTCCTTCAGGCTGCTGCCCCAAGTCAGCCCCTGACCCTCAGAGATGGGCACACACCGGTGGAGCCCAGGCCTCCTGGGGAGAAAGTGCATCTGTTAGGATGAGGCTGGAAATGCCCCAACGCACAACTTCTCGGGAGTCCCGTCCAGTACTGAGCACATGTAAAAGGCCCCAGGCGTGCTGGCGCTGTGGCTTGCGTGTGACGCGGTGGGAGTCGCAGTCTTCAGGAGCCCATTTCTCTCCAGACCTGTTTCCTGCCACGTCCAGCCACTTCTTCTAATAGGTGTGAACATGATGGATCGTTTATTCCTTTGGCAGACAGGCCCGCCACTGCCAGCCTGCTGTGACCATTGCCCGGGCAGGTTACAAAACACCAGGGCCACATTTCTGGTACCTCGGCGTCCCCCCCATGGAGAAGTAAAATGTCAGTGGAGCAAATTACTGACAGAATACTCTGGAATCTATAAATATTAAATTGCTCTGGCTTTCATATAAAATGCAAGCTCTGGTCGGGCCCCTGGAGGAGAGGTGTCTAGAGAGTGTAGGGGGAGGGGAGTGGTTGCCATTGGAGAGACAAATGTCCCCAAAGGGCAGGGCTGGGGCTGGCTCTGGGCTGTGGTTGGTGGGGGTGCAACCCCAGCTGGAGGAGAAGCAGTGGGGAGTGGGGTACAAAGAGTGGGGAGTTGGAAACCCCAAATGTGGCTGTAACCCAGGAGAGGGTGTCCTCTGAGTTTCCATTTGCCGTTTTGTGGTTGGGATGTGGGTGGTTTGCAGGCGAGCTTCCTGTTGCCTTCTTACCCCAGCCTGGGGCCCCAGTGTACTGCTTCCTTTGTGCACTGTCCCCATCAGAGCCTCCCCAAGCAGCCGGGCTGCAGCCAGCTGTCTTCCCCTCCAATCCTGCTGCCCCAGCCCAGGCTCTTCCCCTACACTGGGTCTCCTGTGCTCGTCACGGCTGATGTGAGGACTCTGGTCACATCAGTGGCTTTGCGCTGGTTTGCGTGTCTATATATAGCGAGTACACTGCATGGGTTATTCCACTACCTCGGTTCAATTTTGGACTCTCCACCAACAGTGATCAATTGCTCTGATGTGCCAAGACCCTGTGCCAAGTTCTTTAAATGCTTCCCCTCATCAAGCTGTGCGCAGCCGGATAAGGCAGGAACCACAGCACATTCACCAGGTTGCAGCCAAGGATACTGAGGCCCAGGAGGGCAAAGCAACTTGCTTTGGTCACACACAGATCTGAGGGAATTCCGGGCTCTCAGTGGCTGAGCCTGGATTCAGCCCAGGGCTTTCCAATTCCAGACCTGGAGTCTTAACTGTGAACCTGTATTGTGTCCTGGCCTGGTAGGAGTGCTGGGGCAGGAGGTGGCCCCCTCCTGCTGGGCAGACCTGCTGTCCCAGGCTGGTGGCCATGCACGCTCTCTTCCTTGCAGGCATCCCCACGCTCATCGTGCTGGACCCGCAGGGCGAGGTGATCACGCGGCAGGGCAGGGTGGAGGTGCTCAACGATGAGGACTGCAGGGAGTTCCCGTGGCACCCCAAGCCCGTGCTGGAGCTCTCTGACTCCAATGCTGTGCAGCTCAACGAGGGCCCCTGCCTCGTCCTTTTTGTAGGTATGAAGCTCAGCGGGGCCCCAGTGGGGGAACATGGGGTCCTGGGACAGGATGGACCTCACTTGGGAGGTGCCTGTCCCTGCAGTTTGATCCCCTCACTAACAGTGCAGCCTGGGCCTTTGTCTCTTCCCAGCAGCCTTACTTTTGACCCCCATGATTTATTCATGGCTCGCCCCTGTGGGAGGTGTTCTGGGAGCTGCTGCTGCCTTCCTTCCTCCTCCTCCCAGGCTGCCAGCTGGGCAGGATAGGTTGGGCTGGGAGGGTGCCCTGGGCCCCCCTGAACAGACCCATTGTTGGAAAGAGGCGGGGCTTCACACAGCAGCTGGGGGTGGGGGTTGGGCCCCCCTCTGGCTGCGGCTTACCCCAGGCTGCTCCTGCTGATCCTCTGTGCTCTGATGAACTGTTGCAGGGGCTGGAATACACACGCATGCGCACACACGTCCATCCATCCTCAACTGCACCTCTCAAGCTGTCCTGTCCCACCCTCTCTGGTGCTCAGTCAGTGACTGTGCTCAGCCTGGGCAGGAGGACACAGGAGCATCCACTCTAGGCTCCCTGAAGCCCCCTGGGATGACCCTGGTTCCTTTTGCAAACTGAGCAGTAGTTGGCCAAGGGCCACCTGGGACTCTGCCTTGGGACTTGTTGCTCCCTTCCGATGCACAATGACTGTAGCAGGATTGTGGTTGAGACGCTTCCATACCCACCTTGCTGAGGGGCCGGGCACGTGCAGCTCCTATACCTGTTCTCTGGAGGTCTGGTTTGGGGTCCCCCCAGGAGAGGAGCCAATATACAGACCCAAGGGAATTCTTTAGCAAACTGAGAGTGCTGGCTGGTTCTGCACTTGGAGGAGGAAGGCCCCCACCCAGAGGTGGCCTAGGGACATCATTGACCATGGGCTGTCCTGCCTGCTGCAGGCTCACACAACCGCACCCTGGGGCTGGCTGGGAAACAGTTCTGAACCCAGGGACAGTTGGGAACTTCATGGCCATCTGTAGATGTGGAAGTGGAAAGAGCCAGTTGTGCAGCATCACAAAGCAAATTAGGCGTGGACCCAGAGTGTGTCCTGTGGAGTCTCTGTGCACACAGCAGAGCTCTTGGGCATTTCTGGGTGAAATCCCTCTGCGGGAGCCAGCTCTCCCCTTCCCTGCTTTTGCCACTTGGGGATGCTGCTCTTGCTCTCGGGTGCAGGTTTCAGCAAGCAAGCCCTGGGCCCGGTGCACAGCTGCCCTGCCCTCCTGTTTCACCGAAGCAAGGGATGCCCAAAGGGGGGCTGGGCGTTCTCCCGTGCAGTCAGCCGACCCATCCCAGGCAAGTCCCAGGGTCGTGCCCCCAACGCCATCAAAGCCACTGACCGGACCACAGTCCTCACCCCCTCGCCACCAGTTCTTCTGCCATTTTCACTAGGAGGTGGAAGTCCCTGGTCATGGCTTCTCATTCTGTGACTGAGAGAAAAACTACCAGGGCCCCAGGTCCTGGTTTGTGAGGAGTTCAGTGAAGAGCGCTGTCTACCTGGGGCATCGGTGCTACTCAGTGAGGCGGGTCATTCCTGGCGGGCCTGGCGCAGGAGAGCCTGTGCGAGTGTGCTCTGCTGCTAGAACGGGCATGCGCACGTCGTCACAGGTGTGCAGCACACTCGTGCACGCAGAAGGCATGCCCTGTGTCCGAGGGACGTTCCTTTTCCATTCAGGGGCTGCACAGATGGGTGTGTCTGCAGCTGAGGCCCTGGGCCCAGGCCTGCTCAGGGGGTGCCACTCTGTTCCACAAGACAGTGTTTCTTTTGTCTTTTTCTCTCTCCCATCACAGATTCTGAGGATGACGGCGAGTCTGAGGCAGCCAAGCAGTTGATTCAGCCAATAGCTGAGAAAATCATTGCCAAGTACAAAGCCAAAGAGGAGGAGGCGCCACTTCTATTCTTTGTAGCTGGGGAGGTGAGTGGGAAGGAAGGGCTGGGCCTGGGCAAGGCTGGCTCAGCTGGGGACTTCGAGGACCTGGGTGACACCGGCCCGAGGGTTGACTGTGACTCTGGGAAAGCAAATGTGGCAAGGAAAGGTGTGTCATTCGCCATGGAGAGCCATTTCCTGCCCCAGCTGCTGCCTCTTCCCATGTTTCTCACTGAGGAGCCTCAAAGCAACAGGAGCCCTTCCAGGGCTGTTCCCACCCAAGCCACCGACGAGAGCAGCAGCCACAGCTCCGTGATCCACACGTACTCCCTTGGTGCTGGGTCACAACCAGGCCCCTGATGCTTTACAAAGTGTCGGCTCTGTTAGTCCCTCCCCACCAGCCTGTAAGTGGGTTTATTCTATTGCATGGACTTTGGCTCGGGCCAACCCAGGGAGAGTGCTAAGGTTGGAAATTGCTGCCATTCCCAGTCTCTTTCACCCCAGACTGTCCCTTGGGAGGCCTACAGCTGGGCCAGACCAAGTAGGGGGGTTGGGGTGGGGGCCTTTCACAGAGTGAGAAGGTGGGCCCTTCAGTGGAGCCACCTCCAGCAGGTGCCTGGCCCCCTGGGTGTGGGACCTTCCACCCCAAAGACATGGCCTCTCTGCAAGGTTGTGCAGGCGCGCTGCTCACTCCCACCCCCCCCGGGAGCCCTGCTCTGCGCATGCTCCACCACCTTCCTACCCAACCCGTGCGCCCCCCATAAGCCGGTATCAACAGACACTTTGCAGCCGCCCCTGCACTGGGTCCACGTCCGTACCTCCAGTTGGTCAGAGCCCCGTGCTCATTTCACGCTGCATTTGGATCAGGGGAGAGGCACAGAGGAGACAGGTGGTGTCGGCCAGACACCTTGAACCACCCATTCTTGGCCTCCTCAATAGGCGCCCCTGCTCAGCGCGCTGGGCCCCTCGCAGGCAGCTCTAGTTGCCCCTAAGCCCTGGGGTGGAGGGGAACAAAGGGGCTTCACAGGCCCTGCCTCAGGCCACACTAGCTGTTCCACACAAGGCACAGTGGAGTTGCTCTGAATTTATTAAACTCTAACCCCTGCAGAGTGGCCCAGAGAAAAGATGGGTGCAGAACGGAAAGGGCTGAGTGTGGGGTGGGGGTAGGGGCTTTGAAATGCGTCTGAAAAGGGGCATTTGCAGGTTTTCTATGTACCAGGCACCGAGCCAAGCACTTCACCTGCAGGAGCTCCTTTGCTCCTGCCTCTCTGGCTGGGAATGTAACCACTGTCCTGCTTCACAGAGGAGGCAGGCGAGGCTCAGAGCCGGGGAGGGACTGCCTGGAGGCCATCCACTGGGCTGGGAGTGCTGGTGGCTCGTTCACCCCTTACATCAGCCCTGCGTGTCAGCGGGGTTACATCCATTTTGCAGGGGGTGTGATCTGGGCTCAGAGAAGTGACTTGCCAAAGTCACACAGTAAGCAGGTAGCTTACAGGGGACTGACGTGAGGCCAGTGTGACTCCAGAAGCAGTGCTCTTCCTCCTCCTGTCCCTGTGCTCTGACAAATGAGCTGCCTAGACCTACAGGGACCAGGATGAGCGGGCGCCGGGAGAAGGCTCCCAGGCCAGCAAGCTGGACAGAGAAGCCTGTGTCATCCACTGCTCTAGTTCCCCACCTGGCCACCTGTTCTTCCTGTACACGTCACCTGCGCTCACGCTCGTGGTGGCTTTTCCATTTCTCTGTCCACGAAGCAAGGCGACACGGACAGGCGGTGGGCTCAGGGAGCTGGCACGTCAGGCACTGACTGAGCCCCTCTGAGCCCAGAACTCCAACCCAGGGTTAAGGGGGGGGCTCTTGTTTCTGTCTTGATGCTGTCCCCTCTGACAGGCAGGAGTTATTCCTTCCAAAGCCTTAACAGGCATTGATATTCATCTCCCCGTGGTTTGCTCAGAGGGTGCTGGGAGGGGAGGCAGCAGAGTGCTTGGCTTGGTCTGGGCCTCCGGATGGGAATCGGATGCACAGTGTTTGTCCAGGTGTCCCTTCTGTGTGTGTCACGAAGAGGTGTTATTAACCCCCAAGGAGGGCCTGGGCTGGGTGAAGAGTGCCAGGGATGTCGGGCCAGCCAGCGTTGCTGGGAAGCGCTCGCTGTCTCGGGGGGAGAGGTGGGGAGAGACATCCTCACTGACAACCTTCCTAAAGCTTTGCCTTTTGAGAAAGGAGGAGTGTGTGTGTCTCAGAAATTGGTGAGCTGTAAATTTCCTACCTCCGGCTCCCACCATTTAAGGCCAGGAATATCCCAAGCCCTTTCTCTGCAGGGTGGCTCAGGTTTTCCCGTTCAGTTTGGAACATTGTGCATTTTACAGTGAACAACCTCAGGGTGGGTATGTTGAGTCCATTTTCTCTTATTCTCCAAGGGGAGTCCACAGCAGGAAAAGTAGTCTCAAATGTTTGCTCCCTTACAAATCCTTTCTCCTTGTCTTCGGATTTCTGTGTTTGCCTTTCTGTTTGAATAAGGCTGTCTGGTATTAGGGAAATTCACCTGGACAGCTGCTGGGAATGTCTGATAAATTACCAGCATCTTTCTGAGATGAAGGCGGGGAGCCTGTGTAACCTTGCATGGGGCTTAAGTAGCCTCCTTCTGAACTGGCCGGCTGGGCAACTGGCGCCCTCCCCAAAACCAGGGGGTTAGGGCAGAGGCAGCGAGCTGTTTCTGTTTAAAAACATTCCAGAGGTAAGTCCAGATTGGCCTCAGATAATCCACAGTGGGGCTGCAAATAATTGAGAGTTGGTCGCAAAAATAAGCAATCAAAGGACGTCACATTTTTAAAAAGCAGAGGACACGTTAAAGTTTCATTCGTGCTAATCTGGTGGTTTGGGGGGATGCAGAGAGAGAATTTTACAAAGCAGCCTCCCCTTCCCCAAGGCAGGGCAGGATCCCCTGCTCCCCATTCTAAGAGCACATCTCTGCTTGAGGGGGGCCTGCTCTCCAGGGTGACAGAGCCGTCCTACTTTCATGCCATCTGGGGAGACTGGGCCCAGGGGACTCTCTGCCGTCTTTCTTTAAAATTTCTTGGTTTGCTCTCCTTTCTGGTGACCTCAGGATGACATGACTGACTCCCTGCGAGATTACACCAACCTGCCCGAGGCTGCCCCTTTGCTCACCATCCTGGACATGTCTGCCCGGGCCAAGTATGTGATGGACGTGGAGGAGATCACCCCTGCCATCGTGGAGGCCTTTGTGAATGACTTCCTAGCAGAAAAGCTCAAACCAGAGCCCATCTAGTGGGGCTGCGGCCTCCTGGGACATTATTTAAAACTCAGTCTTCTTCTCCCCCTGTTCCTTCCCTCCACCCTTGGACTTTTCCAGCGTGTCCTGAATCACTCAACCCAGTGTCCAACCTCTCTGTGGTGCCTTGTTTCTGCATTAACTCCTCAGCCCGCACCCCAGGGTGCGCATCCTCCCCACAGCAGCAGCACCCACCATGTTTGGAGACTCTGCTTGGGATCACGGGGATGGCACAACCTGGCCAGAACTGGACTCGTCGCTCTCAAAGTCGCTAGCTCTCGGTGAAGGACCTGCCAGGGTGTTCTTCAGCAGAGCGAGCACGAAGGGATGATGGATCAGGGCTCTGACTCTGGTGTCAGCACACACTCAGAGCCTGGGACAGCCAGGTGGCACTGCCCAGTGACACACGGACACGCAGCTGGAGCAGAGAAAGGGCTGTGGCCTCTCTAGGCATCAGCTTAGCACTATTGGTGATACTGTCCTTTTTTAAGCAATGTAGTCGTTCCTGGTCTGAGGGGAAAACAGCAGCTTTTCAGCGTGTTCTTGGACAGGGCATTCCAAATCTAAAAGGAAGCTTATGGGGTCTTTTTGGTGAGAAAAACAAGTAGCTAAGGTAATGGTTCCTCTAGTAACTGCCTACTTTTATTGGGCTCCTGTGTGATATGAGCTCCTCATTCCTTCCTTAGATCTCTTTCTTCCTTGATCTTGACCTTCCCCAAGTCTCTGCTGCTCATATGAACAGCTCCCACTATCCCGGAATTTTGTTAATGAATTCTTCCCCTTGGACACCTTCCAAGAAACTCAGCCCTGAGTTCTCAGAGGAACACAGCCTGGCCAGCACAGACCTCTCACTCAGCCCAGCTCTGTGCCTGAGGCCGCTGGACCTCTGCCGAGGTGCCTTTGCCCACCTTTGGTTACCCCTGTCATTCTCTTTTCTTTTCAAAGCATAACTAAAAGGAGACAAGAAACTACCAGAAGCCTCACTTTTTCCTAAGAACCGGCAGAAGGAGCTGTGCCCTGGGCTGGGAGTGAGGGCAGAGGGCGTGTCAACTGCAGATAGGCCCTGGAGCCCCTCTGCTAGGCCCAGGTATTATAGCTTGGCCTCTTATTTGGACTGCAGTGACCATGAAAAGGGAAACAACTGCTCTGTTCTTAGGACCTGGGGTGGAGGGCTTTGGCCTGGGTACTCACAGGGTTTTATCCTCCTCAGTCAGGTGTCAGGGTCTTTAAACAGTCTTGGGCCTTACTGCTCAGCACTCAGCACTCTGCCAAACAAAACCATTTATTCGGAAAACCCAGCCCCCCCAATAACCTGTTGACACTGTTTTTCCTTGCTGAATTGGATTGTTGATATGTAGTTCAGAGGTACAAAATTAGTTGGTAATTAGACTGTTATTTGATGTTGCCAGCCTGAAATGCAGCCACCTAGTAAGAAATAAAGCAGGCATCTCTGGACGTCATCAGCCACGTGGCCTTTCCTGTCCTCTTTTTTGCCTGTGCTGCTCTGATCTGTTAGAGGGTGGACAGGGGAGTCAGGGACAGAGAGAACCTCTTGACTTTCATTGATAGGTGGTAGCTGTGTTGCAGAATTTCTGAGAAGCTCAAGACCTAATATAGTCATCTGTCAGATCTTCTTGGTCGCTAAAAGCAAGGAAGCTTGTTTGGATTAAAGTTCCAGAGGCAGATCCTTCCTGGAACTCCCTGTCAAGCCACCATCTCTCCTGGTTTGACGTGGCCCTTGTTGGTGGGCGAGTCCCCGGATTACATACATCAAAAATCCATGGCTGTGGACATTCCTGCTCATTCCCTCCCTGCAGGGGAGCCACGCGCTCTGAGGCCTGAGAGAGCTGCTTAAGGAAACACAAGGAAGCATGCATGGGTCTCCCTGTGAAGAATGGGGCAAGTTGGAGACCTGTAAACCTAGCTCTGTCCTAGGGTAGAGGCTTCTCTGGAACTCTGCCAGTGTCCTCCTTAGGAGGGAGGGGGTGGGGGTACAAGATGAGGCCAACATCCCTTGAGAGATGGGCAGGATTTCTGTCCATGCCGTAGATCGTGATGGCCTTGGAGGAAAGGTGGTCTCTCTTAGCAGGTACTTTGGAGACAGAAGGAAAACAGTCCAGGGAGGAGTTGCACTAAGTCACTGCAACAGAAAAATTAGGTCATCTGTGATACTTTGGTGGCCTGTACTGAGCTGACTCATCCAAACTACCAGCCACTATGTCAAACTGGATCCTTGACACCAGAATTCCCTTCTTAGGGCAGACTTGTAGGTTTGTTAAGATCAGCGGGGGAAGGTTTACTAAAAAGGCTTAGGTTTATATAGTGACTACTTTGGGGGAAAACATTAGGGAAGAATCACTTCTTGAGTGTCAGTGAAATAATCCCTTTCTTGATAGTTCGAGAGATCTTAAAGGTTATTGATGCAGACAAAGTGGGTGGCATGATAATTCCTACCAAGCAGCTCTAAAGTACCTTAAAATTCACGTTGCTAATTAGAAGCAGGTTAAAACACCAGCTGTGACATTCAAGGGTTTCCACCAGCAGCCACGGAAACCATGCCCTGGAGGTTGAGCAGGAACGTGGCTGTAAAGATGCCACCCTAGGGTTCCCAGATTCTGTTCACCACAATGACTTCCAGATCCTATTCTACCTATTCCCACAACAGAAATGAGATTTTTTTTTTTTTTTACTAGTCTCTCAACATTAGAAATCTATTTAAGAAAAAGGGTGTGCATTCGGGATTGGTATGTACAGTGGGCAGATGAAAACCAGCTTCTTTTTCAGGAGTGAGGTGGCTTCCTGCTGTTGTCCCCCCCCACCCCCAGTGTGTCCTTGAAATCAATGGCTATCACTCCTCCGAGCACAGGGAGCCAGTAGTTTTGGCATCAGCAAAGCTTTTAGTGGTAATTTTCAGCCAGACTTTGTTTTCTCCTGTTGCCTAATTAAAGATGCTGAAAAGCTGTTCTCCCTTCCTGCTGCCTCTTTCCAGAGCAGCAAACTGAATTCTGCAATGATAGACACAGGGTGTGGTTCGGGAGTGGATCAGTGGGACCGAATGTGGTGCTGCACTGTTTACCTTAGGGAGGATACACGTGTGGAACGCTGGGCACTCGGGACTGTGGCCCTGGGAGGGAACTGAGCGTCTGGTCCTGCTCCCTTCAACCACACAGGTGCAGGCAGGCATGCTCTGTTCACAGTGCCATTGCCCTGGCCACCCTGGGCAGGCCCGTGCTTGGGCTCCTGATAGGACTGGAATGGAATGCCACCATGGTACAGACTGCATGTGGGCCCACCGAGGTTCAGGAGTGTCCCCTGCAGTTTCTCTCTGGGGGCTGCCTTGGGAACCAAGGACTGATCTGGGGACCCTGACCTCAGGGGGATCTTTCACATTTGCCCTGTAGTGGTTGTACTGAAGTGAACACCTTACCTACATCCCTCATTGCCAGTGCTCACAGGGACAAGAACACACACCCTGCTTTCCTCCAAGCAGGCCGCTTAAGGGAAAATTCTTTGGGGACAAACAGCTGTTGACTATTAGCTTCATTATTAGTGCTAATGGTCTGTGAGCATGTGTGAAGGGCGAAGTATTTTGCAGGAAACAAGGCTTTTTTATCTTGGTTCTGCCTCATGCCTAGGATCTCTCCTGTGGGGGGATAAGACATGGGGTGCTCCAGGTGTGCCTCCTATGTGAAAGCACGAAGGTAAGTGTGCTTACTGTCGTTCTTCAAGGCATAAGTGTGTGTCACCCCCTTGGTGCTTTGGAAAACTTCCGAAGCCAGGAAATGTGTTAGTAGGTTTGGGTGGAACTTGCTCTGAGGGACCGCTGGATTTCCATTAAATAATGTACCAACTCATGAAAGCCTTTGTCCCCAGGCCTATAGGCAAGATGTGCAGCCTGAAGTAGGCAGAGCCAGCCTCAAGTCTGGATTCGCGGGTGCTGGCGCCTTACATGAATAAGTCACCCACACGCCCTAGAACTGGGATACAGTAGGAGACATGATCTTAGGACCCAGGGCCGCATAAATCAATCTCCTTTGGACGTCAGCGGACATGGAAGTCCCCAACCAATCAAGAGCCACTCTGCAGGCTCCCAGTTAGTGTGTGCTCCCTTCACATCTCAGCGGTGCAAGGGAGGCCGAGGGAGGAGGCTGAGAGGCCAGACCCGCAGCCATCAGCTCCTCCTCCTCCCCAGCCTTTGTTCCTCTCTTGCATTCTGAGGAAGCAGCAGCTTTGGTAAGGGCCCACCCCAACTCTGAGGTTTCTACTGAAAAAGTAGCTCTTCCCTACAAACAATATTGAGAGTGTAGTAAGGACAGGACTGATCCCATGCATAACACACTCACATGTTCAGTCATCCCTGGCTGTGGTGTCAACAGCACTTCCCGAGGCTTCCAGCAAGGGAGGGCCTGGCTCACGGCTGCTGTCTCAGATGCTCGAATGTAACATGGTTCCTTGGTTCAGACACTAAGTCATCCAAAGCAATAAGCCAGCTCACCCATGCATTTGGCTTCCAGCTTGGACATTTGTACATACGCTGATGAAAATAGAGGAAATAAGATCCTGGAGTTTAGAAATGGCACATGAGTGCTTCTTTAAGAAAAAACAAAAACAAAAGAAGGTAAGTCCTAGTCAGGTCTGTTCCTGAGGGAGCCCCAGGCCCAGCAGCACAGCTGGGGGTTTCCAGCACTGGCCACGGACCTCAGATGGGTGCTGTTTGTGGGGTCTCCGTGTGGCGGAATGGTCAAAGTGGACCTAAATGCAGCCCAGCTTGGACGGTGGGGACATCTGGTGTTGCTGTAACCCTGGGGTAGAAGGTCCCGGGTGGACTCAGTCCCCAGAGGGCCGCTTAGCTTCTGGACCTTAACGACCAGGAGGAGCCCGCAGCTGTGGCTGGGCAGCTGTCCTGCCCTGCAGCACTAACTGAAGGGCCAAGCGGTGGCTCCCGGTGCGAGTTCCAGGCTCGGCAGGACATCTGCATTTCATCCAGAGTAGCTTTCCCAGAGGCTCCTGTCAAAGGGAAAAGTTACACTAATTTCTCCTGCTGTGGCCGCTTCCCATGTCTCTCCACTTTCTCCTTGGGTTTGGTTCCAGTGTCCTGTGCTTCAGACTCCTCTGCCGAGATTATGTGGGACAATCTGGGTGGGTCTCTAATTTTAACACCTTTGAGCACAAATGGTCTGCAGAATGCCCTCCCTGGTAGAGGGAGACTTGACTCCATCCTCTTTCCCCACTTTTTCAACAACTTAAATCCTGGAAAATTCCCGACCCCTCCCTTCAGCACTGGGAGAGGGTTTTTGGGGCGTGGCCTGCCACCTCGTGGCAAAAGTCGCTATTGCAGTTATGCGTCAACACAAAGGCAAGGGGGAGCCTGGCCAACATTCTGACAATGTTTATCTTTCAGCCAAGCAGTGTTTTTCTTGTCATGTATTGCTCAGTTTTTATTCCTATTTATTGGGAAAATGGTGAGAACAAATGTTGCCTTCAAAATCGGGAATTCAAGATAGCAGTTTTCCAACATCACTCAGCAAGTAAGAACATAACCACTTGCCCCCCTGTAGTGATTTAAAAGAAAATTTCCCTCCCCTCCCCTCCCCCACCCCCTCCCCACATCATACCCATGAATATACAAAAAGAACTCAGATGGCATTGTACGTAAGCCATTGACGATAAAGTGAATGGGATGGAAATTTCTTTTTCCTGTACCCAGGATGACAAAATGGGCTTAGAATTATTTATATCTTGCATTGCTTTGTTTTTCTAAATGAGGATAAGGTATGTGATATGTTTTTTCACTGATTTTTATTTTGTAAAAAAATAAGTGGGAATATAACCCGGGGACACAAATTACAGACTGGTTTTATGGTGGAAAGGAGTGAGCTCCCTCTTAGTGCCTTCTGTTTCTTTAGCACTTGAAGATGTTGAAGGGGACCAAATGCCAGTAGGGCATTCTCCAGCTGCCTTTCAGACTGAGCCTGCTAGTGACAGTATGGTCCTCTTCAACTCCTGTGAAGTTTGCTGACTGTGTTCCAGCCTCTGTGAGCACTGGTGCAGTATAAAGGCTTTGAACCCTTCTACTTTCTAAAACCTGCCTGGGGATGGAGTCTCAAGAATAGTCCGTGGGCCACTTGGCATTGACCATCTGTGTGGGGCTCTGGGCAGCCCCAGACCAGAGTGGGGGGCACCAGCTTCAGGCTGCTCAGCCTGGGAGGACGCAGCCATCCAAAGAGCATTATCCCTGAAAACACCCCTCACCTCGAACATGCCAAGTAATCCCACCCTGCTCCCTGGGACATGAACCATGCTTGATCATTTGGTTCTCCCAAGAGGAAGTTTTACTTGGGAGCTGGGGAAACAGAAAGGAAAGGTGGCCCGGGGGCGGGCTGGGGCGGGGGGTGGTCCCCAGTCACATTGACAACTCACTTGACCTCCTTGGAACAAGCAGCTAAAGGCTCCCAAGGAACCCAAACCATTATAGGAGCCACTGTACAGGAGGGGTGTGGGAAAACAGCACTTCTAATGTCACCCTCAACTCCAACCCTATTTGTAGTTGCAAAAGTAGTGCTTAAAATGAACCCCATACTCCTGTCCACCCACCCCCTTCCCACGATACTTGTAAACACAGTGATTACCCTCAGCACCGGCCCTCACATCCCTGGCTATACCTTGCCTGGCACCTGGTAAGGATCCAGCTTGCCCTGGTCCTCCTGGGGGCCTGAGAGAGCAGCAGCTTCCTGCTGCAGTGTTGTGGGCCCAAGGGCCCCGAACTCTCGTCCTCGGAACTTCCCGTCGCAGGATTTCTGTTCACACAGCATCCAGAATGTTGGCATTTTCCTAAGCAGTTCTGTTCCTCTTTAGGGGCGAGGGGATTAATGTAAGTACATCATTACATTCAACCAAAAGTGACACATAAAGTAGAACAGGAGGGAGCTATAATAGTAAAAACGGTGAAGCTTTCCCAACAGATGCAGGCTTAAGGTAAAGATTTAAAAACTCAGTTTCTTCCTTTTCTGCATAAAGTCCTCAAAAAGATACTTGCAGAGGTGCTAAAGTATGACACCACCTGCCGAATTATTTATGCTGATATATAAACAGTGGCTGTTTTAAGTGAAGGCTACAGCAAACAATCCCAGACTGACACATCCAAGCCCAAAGAATAGCCAGCTATCGAATGCCATGACCTGGAGCTCTTAGCTTGCTGAATCATTAATCTCTTAACAATGTCCTCATCACCAGCCAAAGATGAAAAGACAGGCACTGAGACCCACTTTAAAACTTTTTAATGTAATCTGCTAGCTCTATACTTCACAGTTTATTTTCCATTGACCAATGATCAGATGTGAGTGACTTAGCCATGACCTGTAACTAGTACTCCACGACTGCAAAATATCCACCAGCTGGTGGGAATTCCTCCCCACCCAAGATGACGCCTTCAGGAACTTTCTGGGCACAAAATGCTGTTAGCAGATTTTTTCACACCTTCCTCTTGCCTCCTGAATGTGGCTCATGAAGCCACAGTCACCGACTGCCAGCCTCCCAATGATGTGCCAGGGATAGGAGGAGGTGGAGACATCGTTGCACCAAGAACTCACGTCTGTGTCCCCTCTCAGTGGTAACTCCTGTCCCTGCTCAAGTGTTCTGCCCTTAACCGTAGTTGTCTTTTCCCTTCAAAAAGCAGGATGCTTGCAGCCATGGCCGAGTTCAGGCTGTCCACACCAGGAACGACGGGGATCAGCAGCCTCTTGCCCCCAGTGCTCTCAGCCAACTGCAGGGACTCCAGACTCACCCCGTAGGTCTCCCCACCGATCACCACGGCTGCTGGTGCCTCTGTCCAGTCTGAGTCATAGCTCTGAACCTCAACTTCAGGGAGCCAGCCTTTCTTGGCTCCCGTTTCTAGATCCTCCTCCTCCTCTTCATACTTGTGAAACTTCAGGAATCGCCGATCACACGCCGAGCGACGGTCACTGGCGTTAGCAGACATTTGGGCCTGAGCATAAAGGCCACAGTTGTCAGCCACGTAGACCCGGGTGTCAGGGGGCAGGTAATTCGGCAGTGTTTCCCATTCCAGATTATTGATAATGGGCACCTGGAAATGTGCACCCATGCCTGCCCGTAGCACTTTGGGTTCCCAGGCATCCACACAGCCTAGAAAATAAAAAGATAGGATACAATCCAGATTTTATAAATCTTCCCAAGCTAGGGAACTTTGGAGTAAATCAGATTAATTCTGGATCAGGACATCAAAGTTCCTCTAATATAGCCTTTTGAAAGCTGGGACCTTCTGCCTCTCCAATTATGACAGCATCTGACAAATGGACTGTAGGATTAATTCCCACCAGTGCTGAAAACAGATTTAGTCATCCCCTCAACACTTTCCATATACATGTACCAAATACTATAAAGATGGAAATTAAAACAGAGTCTCCAACCTCAGGGAACTCATGCTATAGTGGGTGGTAGCATTGGGATGGTATTTAAACAAATGACTATAATATCAGCAGTAACTGATAATAAAAGCAGCATCAACAGTGTAATAGAAAACCCATGCACAAAGCAGGGAATGAGGAAAAACACATGTAAGAGACCATGACACTGAGTTGGCTCTTGAAGGATAGGAGGATCTTGTCAGAGAAAGGCCCAGGCGAGGACAAAGTTAGAGAAAGGGAGAGTGCCATGGTCTAGGAATTGCAAGTAAGGTGAGCAGGCCAATTAATGGGTGGGGTGTGGTGGCAGAGGAGATGGGAAGCAGGCAGGGTCCAATTTAAAGGAGGCTGGGTATGCTAAGCTGAGGAGTTTTGGGTTTTATCAGAACACAATTTAATGCCATTGAAGGATTTTAAGCAGAGCAGTGACCGAATCGGATTTATGATTCAGAAAGACCCATCTGGCTTCAATGTTCACTCTGGAAGGAGGAGCAAAGACATTAGAGATGGGGAAGTGAGGGGCGAGGCAGCGCAGTAACCCAGGCAGCCTTGTCACTCACACACATCGTCCTCCCACACTACAGCAGGAAGGCTGGAGGACCTCACCCTCACGTACAGTCACCTAAGCCCAACCACGCGGGTGCACTGGCTGATGGCAGACACCTGGCCTTTCCCAGTGTCTGCGACTCACCACGGGCAGGCTAGGAAAGACGGCCTTGCGGTGACTGCATCACCTGTCTTACTATCCTCCTCTAACTTAGCACAAGTCTCCTCGTGACAAGTTATTTTAAAAGTTAATTTGTAAAACTTCAGGAGAGATTAGGCAAATCAGATTTAAAAAGGAGAATTAGACACAGAGAACGTAACAGTGCTCACACGTATGCCCAACATGGGCTTTCCCACTCACGGCAGGGAACCAGAGATGAGAGCTGGGTTATATGCCACGAGGTGAGGGAAAGGGACGAGAAGGTGGGTCCATACCTGTGAGAGGAGCTGTCTAGTCTGACCACTCTACCTGGCATGACGAGGGCAAAGGTGAGACTCTCCCCTCAGCCTCATCCCCTTGATATTAGGCACCACATGAGTTATTTCCTACTCTTTCTTTTCCTACTTCTTACACGCCAGCCATCAGTATCAATGTGAAAACCACACCGCTTGGATTATGTAGACCCATTTCCAAAACCACACCTGCTATCAGAGCACTCAACAATGGGGCAAGTAAGCAGGTACTGATAATGGAAGCCCAGCACCTAGCTCTCACGCCAGAGCACTTAACTCTCATGCTGGCAAAGAAATGTACTCCAGCAAGGCGTGACTGAGGAAGAGTTAAGAGGAGCAATTTAGGCAAGTCTCAGCAATGGGCACCACTATTAGTTGACACTTAATGGTAGCTTGGGTGTTTCTGATGAATGATACTCTTCCTCCCCTCTGCCCCCAAGGTATACTAGGCATTTTAGGCATGTCCCCACTGTTAGGCAAGTCTGTCTAGAGCCAAACCTATTAATCCCCATTTCTGATGAGAGGAGACAGAAATGTGATGAGGCTAATTTGTGTGTAGAGCGTGTGATCCACCCTGAGTCTAAGGGAAATATATCATGACTGTATAATCACACACTGTTGATATCATTCCTTTCACAGGGTTCAGAATTCAAGAGTTAGGAAGGTCTCATATACCCAACAATTTGGGAATTCAAGATCATTAAATAAAGGACTTGAAACCAAGTGTTAAAATTGACATCTATTTCTTTTCCCTGACTGACTTAAAATTCTTCTTTAATAAACTAGCAGTTTTCAAAATAATTTAAAAGATAACGAACATTTCCTAAATTACTTATTGTGTGCCAGGAATGGTATGAAGTACTTTATGTGCATCATCTCACTTAATCCTCAAAATAACACAACGAGGGAGATTGTTATTATTCCCCCTTTACAGATGAGGAAAGCAACGCTTAGACTATTGCTCACAGACATATAGCTAGTAAGGGGCAGATCCAAGATTCAAACCTATGCATGTCTGCCCAGAGCCCTGGTTCACTTAAAAATGGCCAACCAGTCTACCTGAGCACTGAAAAGTGCTCTTACCTTTGGTGAGTAATACTTTGCTGCAGCCTGCCCCAGCAGCAGATCTCAGAATTGTCCCCAGGTTTCCCGGGTCACGGAGATTGTCACAAATCAACAATAAGGGCAGCGAATGGTGAAGCTGTGTCTTTGGATATGTCATCTTAACATGGTCAGGTTTGGCAAAAATCCCTGAGGAAACAAAACAGGAAGATTTGCTTATCTGATGTGGGCATGAGGAATAGTTGCACTTTTCATTTACTTAGCATTCTTTATATATTCTTAATTACATAGGGAATACCACACTCTGAAAAAATTCAAACAACATAAAATTCTACCAGTGCCATTTTCCCCTCCCCAAATGTGTTAGTCTTGGACTGGATCCTTTCAGAACTTGTTCTATGCAGCTACCTACATATATGCACATCTACCCATATATAGGAAGCTTTTACCTTTTGTTTTTAGAGACAGAGTCTCACTCTGTCATCCAGGCTGGAGTGCAGTGGCGCAATCACAGCTCATTGCAGCCTCAAATTCCTGGGCTCAAGCGATCCTCCTGCCTCAGCCTCCAGAGTAGCTGGGACTACAGATGTGCACCACCACGCCGGATAATTTTTATTATAGGCATGAGCCACTTGCACCCAGCAGATTTTTTTTTT